TCCAGATTTTCTTCTTTATGATTTACATAAGTAGGCTCCTGTTAACAGAGCACCAGATAGTAGAGCAGTTCATTTTAAATTATTGTTTTGTTGGTAGCACTTCTAGAGCAGCAGTTTATATAAGGGACTATTCAAGAAACTTTTTTAAGGTCTATCTTTAATCTTATGGTTTATCATTGCCCAAGACACATGATTACAGGGTACTGGTATATGTTATGCAGAAATTTGGCAAAATCTCCCATTGGTCAGTTTTATAATACATGGACAGTCAAAAGATTTCTTACAGAATCATAATGAACAGGTTTTATTGGGCATACACAAGAAACACCATATATATTAAAAATATTATGAAATATATACTGTATGAACAAATAGAACAGATCACATATACCCATACAACCACATCATCTGTGTCATTTCAGACAACAAGATAAGAGTGATTAGCAACCAGATTTCAGAGGTTAAAATTTGGTTGTTAATCACTTCTTGTCATGTTTTAAGGAGGTACTGTACTAATTTTTCTACTGTATATCTCATTAGAGAGCATTCATAACTTTTGGAACAAGAATATTCACATCTTTCGGTTAAGCCTCCTACCATATTTCTGAAAGGAAGTAAACTTAATGTGACTAGTAAATATACAGTCTATCCCTCTATAACACTGTTGATAATTCCGTTTTATATGAATTCCATGTTGTACGAGTCACTTAGATTTTACAAATAAGTGTGCCGGACTGTGAACGGCTCACGTATTTGTAAAATCTAAGTGACTTGTACAACATGGAATTCATATAAAACAGAATTATCAACAGTATTATAGGGGGGGGGTCGACTGTACAGTACTACATTTAGTGATTATTTAATAGAACAATAAAAAATGATAATATAAGACGAGAAACCAATATGTAAGTATGGTAAAATTATGTGATAATGAATTTTAACATCTGCAAAACTACAGAGCTAAAACATGAAAGAGTGAAGAGAATTAACAAGCCCCTGGGTGATCCTGTTATTTTGGATAAAGGGGCATGACACAGTGATCCTGAGGGTGCTCTCTTAAGTAGATTCAACTGTATGATGTCTAGTAGTAACAAAAGTTACATTAACACACACTCAAAACATAATATTCAAACTAAAAGTAAAAAATTTTTCATTAAAAAAATTTGTTTTCTAAATCAATGCCTGATCCATTATAAATTAATTCATTTTCAGAAGACAATACAAAATCTTCCTTAAAATTACTTTTACAAATTTCATTTGAAAATCATGTATATTTTTCTTATTGAAAAAAGATCTATTTAACAATTTATCACATAATCAACTTTCTACAAGTTTTATGTTATTCCTGATTCAATATTTTCTAACAACACAACATTATTTATGTTACCAACAAGTTTCTATCCAAAGCCTCTTCCATTAGTTTCTGTTACTGTTGTTTATTAAATCAATATTGTTCTAATGTTATATAATTAAACAGTATAATCTAGAGCATTTTTTACTTAAAAACATTTTAAAATCAAGAATGGAAATTTTGTCAAAGTTTAACTTTATCTTCAGAATAACTTAAATAATTTTCATGATATGAAGAAACAGGATTATCAAAACAACAAAATAAGTTCAGATATCACTTTTGTTAGTTATTGCATTTTTTTATAATAAGAGAAAGTATTAACAATAACAACTGTGAAATTTTAATTTTTTTTGTTCGGTAATTCTGCTCTTTAAATGTTAAGTTTTTTATTTACTGTATTTATAAGTTATTCTGAAAATGAAATAAAACTTTGAAATGTTTCAGATTGAAAAATTTATTATTCTTGATTCTTAATTTCATTATTCTAATGTTCAAATACATAATCCAAATAGTGCAAATTTATTTTTCACAAAAAATCTGAAAACACTTTGGATTTTTTAAATAATAATTTATTTAGCATTGATTTATAAGAAATAAATCTTAAAATTATAAACCAAATAATAAATTGAGATGTGTATAATGTTGTATAACATTATAATCTAAAGATAAATGTTAAAATGATGATATCAATGAACAGATAATGCTTATTGAATAAATAATAGATCACAAGTTGATCTTGAACAGATATTTTACAGAAAATTAAAAGTGATGTTTACAATAAAGCAGAACTAATAAGTAATAATTTAGATAAAATATAATTTATTTTGTATAATATACAGGTATACCTCGCCTTACGTCGGTAATTGGTTCCAGGAAAACGACTTAAGTCGAAAAACGACGTAAGTCGAATTTACTTGTCTCCGAATCTACTTGTCACTAGGCTAAATTATAAATTACTATTAACAGTTCTGTATTTTATTTATTAATGCATTTTTAATAATATATGGTTAATAAGAATCTATTTTAAGCTTACAAACAAATAAATTTTAGTTTTTAATAGAGTACAGAAAAAAGTAATCTAAATTTACGAATGCATGTACTGTACTGTAAATACAGTACATACTTGTAAATGTATATATTTTAATATGATTTTATGTGCTTTAAACGCTTTTCTAGTGATATTACGACTTCAATATTTGTGGCAGACGGACGTAAAGTCGAATAAAATGACTTAAACTTGATTTTTATTTTTTCGTATACTTTTTTGACAAACGACGTATAATCGGGAACGACGTAAGTCGAGGTATACCTGTATATATAGAGCACTAACTAATCAAATAAAAAATTCACATGCAAGAAGTAGAACAGAGTTTGATGACATTGCAAATCAAACTTGATGACAGTATAAATCAGTCAAGCTTGTTATTGCCAGCTACATGTTGCAAAAAGCATCTTATATGCCAATGTTTAACTCACTCTGGCATATAAGTTGATGTAACGATCTAAAGATGACCATTGAAACACTAACTATAATGCCATTCAATATATGATATACATACATACAAATTTTACAGTAATGAATCTAATGCATATGTAATTCTAAATGTAAATTATGAATAGTCAAATTTTATATAAGCTATAATATATTTTTTTAATAGTTATTGGTATGTAAAATAAATACACCTAAGTGTTGCGGCATTACTGTTTGCAACTATTTAGAACATAAAAGGCACACTCTAGTACTTTCAGTAGCACAAAGCTACCATCTTTAGGCAAATGTCGAATACAAATATTTTTCAAATGATTAGCTTTCGAACAAACTTATGAAAATAAGTGGTGCACATGAATGAAATACGGAAATTGAATTTAAAATAAAAGATGTTCTAAAATGTGAAAAGCATTGTGAATGTTATTATAAAGCTACCATCTTCAGGCAAATATGATACTCGCCTGAAGATGGTAGCTTTATGCTACTGAACATACTAGTGCCTTTTATGCTCTAAATAGTTGCAAACAGTAATGCTACAACACTTAAGTGTATTTATTTTACATAGTTAAATGTAGGCGTGAAGTGTAATTCATTTTATTAGTTATTGGTAACAATATTTTTTCATTATTTTCCAACAATAGCTTGAGAAGATCAATCTGCCTAAATATCAAGTTTAAACTTAAGAAAGTCATTAATTAATATAAACATATTTAGAAAAGCACAAATTAAGATAATTATGAAATATAAAAATTTACTGAAATTACAGTACTGTATTGAAATTTGGTGAATTTAACAAGAAAATAAAATTTCAAGATTCTAAGATTAAATCTATTTGGATGTAATCTATTGAATATTTGAGGAAGAAAATCTTAACAGTTCTTGATAATACCTTCCATTAAATGATAATATATATAAAGAGAAATGGTAGTTTATGCATAAATAAAAGAAATGCAATACTCAACAAACTATAAATTTGAATCACCATGAAAATGGATGTTGACTAAGTAAAAAGAAAAAAAAAAGCAGTGTGTATAAAGCATAAATATAAAAAAATAAGATAATAAGTTAAACAAACACAATTACTTAGACTAAGTACACATTAAATATATAGAGCAGAGTTTTGACAATACAGTCTGGAATGCAGATTAGATGACCTAAACTTTTTCTATCGATACATAATGTAATTCCCACTTTTATTCACTTTACTAGTGAATAAAATTTATTTCTAGTGACTATTAGAATTTATCTCATATTTATAAAAAATTTATTTTAAGATATTCTCAATTTTCTAATGTACTAATTATATAATTATATATTCTAACATTTATATTCTTAACAATTACAGACCTATATATTTATTTTATTACATTTTAAATTTATTAATTATTATAGTTATTGATTAATATCCTGCACAGTACATATAACTCCTGAATTTATTCTGATGCAATTTAAAGAATTTCTACATACCGGTACGACTTCAAAACTTATATGACTTCTGACAGATAGAACTAACAAATGTTTTTCTGTTAATTAAACCTTTTTATTTTGTTGAAAATTAACTGCTTGTCCTAGTATTCGATCAGTAATAAGTATAATTAGAATTCAAATACATAAAACAACATTGCACCCATCTTTTATCTTTAATTAGTAAAAATATGCAATTAATGGAATTGAATGCAATCTTATGTTGAAGGCAAACTTCTGTTGAATATTATAATAATAATAATAATAATAATAATAATAATAAAATACACAGTAATAATTTATGATTTTATTTCATTAGTCATTAATAACTGACAAATTAACCTCCAATGGATTAACATAAATTAAGATGTCAATTAAGAAAACTGTCTTATTGCTAAAATATAGCAATGTATACACCTTCACATTAAAATAATACAGTAATTACTTTAAATATCAATTAAGTATCATATACATTATCAGTGTCAAAGTATACTATTTAATTTAACATTAAAAAAATTAGTGGAAATAATTTCTAGTTTTATTCGCATTGGGAAGAAATTGAGTGATTAATTGTTCCTTCTTGTTTATTTTCGATTTTCAAAAAAAAATTATCAGAACTCGCCCACTTTTAAAATTAATGATACATTTCGACAGTAATATCTTAAATATATGTAAAAAGGCATTGGACAAACTTACGCTCTATGTTTAGGAAAACCCATTTGCAAAAGAATCTGCAAATGAGATAAAAGTTGACGATTTGCTTTAGAGGAACTGATACTTCGCCTCGGAGGAAGAGTCGCCATCTTTCACTCTTATAAACATCCCGCATCCGACTACTTACATAATTCGCTTATTTTTAATTAAAAATATTATAAATTTTTATACCGTAGTGACATAATATATAATATTGCCTTAAAGTGTTAAAAAAATCCGAAAGTTTTTTTTCCTTATGTTTTAATTAATGCATTTTGTTTTCGTCCACCAGATGTCACATAGTGCTCCAAAATGGCGGGCGTTTTATTTGAAGATATTTTCGACGTAAAAGATATAGATCCGGAAGGAAAGAAATTCGACAGAGGTAGGTTTAAATCGATGATTTTTAATTGCCGTAAATGTTTTCGCTTCGTCTTACGTAAAGATAATTTAATTTAAACGGATAAGTGTGCGTGTCGGGCCAGCCGAGCCAAACCACGTGGTTTAGTTAGATTCGTACACAAAAATTACCAGCTTAAATGACTTTCGGAAGAACTTGATAAACCGTTGTGACTGGGTGGAAAAGTTTTAATGATTGGTGCAAAGGTTTCGGAAAGTGACGTGCAAAAGTGTTTACTTAAATTAATTACCAAAAACGTAAAAGTGACGTCATAAAAATATTGCGCATCGCACGCAAAGTGCAGTTACTTTGCGGATATCTCGGCCTTCGTAGTTCAGGTAGATGTATATACACACAAAACTTTTACCCGTACATCTGTCGCAGAGCGGTTATTAGAATCTGCAACATATTCCGTGGCAAACAGTCACCAGCTGATCAGACGATGTTTAGTTGTCGCCGATGATGTTTCTGAGCGCTCTCCGTCAATTCCCTTTGTAAACGGACGAGCGATTGGTAGAGACAACCGGATGACGAAACACTGGCGTAAAGCCTCACTCGTTAGCTGGACGATCGAGATGGAGGGAGGAGAAACCGGGGGAACTAAGTTGCGTACGTGGAAGAAACGACGCAGTCCGTAGATTGACACCGAGTGGTATGCTATGCAACTTTGTTATGTCAATACGATCGCCCCTTTTTGTGTGGTTTATCAATTCCCGCCGCAAATGGACGATAACATTTACGGGGTTATCAGATAATCACTTTACGTATCGACAGGTGAGTTTACTAATTGTTTTCTTCTCGAATTCTGTTTAGTTAACACTTCTTCCAACCAGTTTAAATAAATTCCGATTCTGCGCCGTTAAATTACGATTTGTTTTGACAGTTTCCTTTTTTTTGTTTTGTTTCTAACCTTACTTTTCCGAACGTAGTTGATCTTGTTACGTATCTTTGACGCCGGTGCGACTGCGTTATAACTTGAATATTTTCTCTTATAATGTTCGTGCGAACTTAAAACTCGTCGAAATAGAATTTGGATTTCTGTAACAGCGAGTTGTGCATTCCGCGAACCAAAAATTATACAAAAATAGCGTAACATTTTAAGAAAAATCCTTGAATTTTTATCCGGTTTCTTTTTTCTTCTTCTTCTTCTTCTTTCCTACGAAAAGTAGTTGGAGTTTCGCTTCCCGATTGTTGATTATTTAAACGTAAGTTACGTTACTTTAATAGAATAATTCAAAGTTTAGATCGAATTATCGTATTTGCAATCGGGTGGAGATTTAAATCGTTAATTCGACTCGGAAAATCATGGCTTGGAGGAAAAAAATCGCAAGTATTTCGAAATTCAGCGCGTTAAGGTGACATAAAAGTCATTTCAACTTGAAAAGGATGTATTAAATCAGACGAAGACGTTTTAAAAATAGAATACAGATAGGAGAGACGGGATTAGTTACGTTTAATCGCCTGTAATTAAACGTAGTCAATAATTATTAAAACATCCCATTCGTTAGTTAGTAGAATGCGTGACTCATTGAGTTTTCTAATTGTACAGTCGGATGAAACTAACGAAGAGAAATCCATGACTCAACCCATTCCTGATTCACATGTTGATTCAGATCGTGTTATACGATTATCAGTTTAAGTAGAAATAATTACCAACGTTGAAAGTTTATATGCAAAAATCGACGAAGGTGTACCGGAATTGTGCAAGGTCGAATGTTAAATTTATTAAGCTTGAAACCGTGCACTTCGCTCCTTAACGACTGCATTTATACGTACCGGCACGTATACTAGTGCTAGAATTGGCCCTAGTTTATTGAAGTTTCTCCGTCCCTCGATAGATCGAACCGATTCGATCCCATAAAAACTATAATTCCGAGATGAGAGTATTGAATAACATCTTTCCCGGCTATAAGGTTACATCCGTAGTTTGTAGTGTGCAGCGCATATAATGTCATTATTTTATGTATTATTTTACAGATTTTGAGTTATGACAGAACTTAGGTTTCTCGCGAAAGGATCCCGATACAAGAATACACACTAAACAGATTTTATTGCTGATAAAAACGGGAGAGGAAACCTCATAATTCGAAATTACAAATAATCTATGCCACGCCGAGATTTCTTTTTTTTTTTTTTTTGGTTTAAATTGCTAAATTAATTTATAATTCGGACCGGTTGGCCGCTGCAGCACGTAACAATCGTCGGAGAAAGGACTTTAATATCCGTAGGTGCATATTTAATTCCTTAATAACTATTTAAGGAGCTATTAAATGAGTTAAATTACGAGAAAATACGATTATTCACGAACGTGAATACTGGGGGAAAAATTAGAGTAAACAGTTTCTTTAAATAATTACATAACGATTCTTCGCTTTGCCTTGAAAGATTTTCTTACGCACAAGTTTTAAATTTATTCTAGGATTTTATTTTTCCTTGGTTTAATTTTCCCCGTAATTGTTTCTAGTTATTTAATTGTAGATTTCGTCTAAACTTTTCTCAGCCTCGCCCTTCCCAGCGATAAATTATTAAGTATTATCGGCTGCCTGTATTTACATTAATTTCTTATCGTTATTTTGATTCCGAAATTATCGGAAACGGGTCTTTCGGGCGAGGGGTTGATGCCTGATATCGAATATTGCACGCGCTCTTTGGCGAAAAGGAAGACGTTACGTTTGTTAATTAACGGCCGGTGGCTAATGATCATCAGCGTTAACCTCCATTACTTTCGATCGCCATTGCAGCAATCCTGGAGGTTGTCGGTAAACGTTTGCCGAATGAAAATTCCCCGAATAGGAGCTAGGCGTGGGTTGCCAGATACGGCGTCACGGGCGCATGCGTGACCTTGAACTTGAAAACGACTGGCGTGACTGGAACGAGCATGCGCCTCGTCCCTTTTTCCATCGGAGGTGAATTAATGCCGGTCCTCCTCCTCCTCCTCCTTTTTTTCTAGTTCAAGTTCGCTCCCGTCGAAATTAATACGCGCACGCGTTCAGCCTTGTAAATTATACCGGAAGGTTGTTCCGCCCGCTCGCGTTACTCGCGCGAGCGTTCACCGAAAATGCGTGCGGATTGCGTAACGGTTCTCCATTCTGTGACGTCACAGCCCCGAACAGCTGTGCTTTGTTTTACTTATCCTTTGGACGCTATGTAGTCGGAGGAAACGGATGGTCCGGCGTTATCCGTTGCGTAAGCCGACGCGCAGGGCTTTTTTTATTTAAAAATAGCGTTAGAGAATTATCCGGCGGCATCCGACGAAGACGGAGCGATTCGTAGGCCGGAGGGAATCGTTAGATAACTTTTCGTTTACTTAATATCGAGATTTTCCAAGTTTTCGTCGACTCCGCGTCGCTCGCAGCGCGGCGCGACGCGAATGAAGCAAGAGGTCTCCAAATTTCTGCCGAGGCGTCGAAGGAGCGAATTTTGGCAACGGCGGACTGGTTCGGATATTTCTATATAAATTTTTTTTAAAAAGTTAGCTCGGACTTAAACCGGGAAGGCCATTTACAAAGAGAAAACGGCAGAAAGTCCATACCGGCGATTACGTGCGCGAACTTCTTTCCCGGGAATTCGATTGAGGAACGCCCTTGACGAAAGGGGACGACAGACGGGAAGGAGCAACAAATGCTTAAAAGAGGCATAACTCCAGAAAAGCGACCGGTCCGACTTCAAATCCGGGGAACGGCCGGGAGTGATCCCGGCCGTTCCCCGGATTCGGGTTTCGTAGTCGACGTAACTCGTTAAGCCATTCTGTTTTTCGGTTACGTCCGTCGGACGAGCGATGGGCCGATTGCCAAGAACCGCGCGAATCGAGCGTCACCTCGTCTCCTTCCCGTTACGTCGGCGCGTTGCGCTTAGTTACGATCGGAAACGTGTTACAGGGGACGTGGCTGTATCTCAGCGATATTTTTTCTCGCGGTTTACGGAGCGTTGAAGGAATGTTTAACGGTTTTCTGTCGGGCGTCGATTTGCCCTTGAAATTCTGAACTCGACCTTAAAGTCCTTGCCGTCTAACTAGTTACATAAACAACAATAATCGCTAATTTTTTCTAATGGCTGAACGTTTTAATGCGCGTGTTTTGCCCCGTTATAACGCCGAGGTGGGAGAAGGAGAAGAAAAGAGGATATATTAGTTTTTCGCGTTTTTTTTCAAATCCATTTTAGTGCGTAATTGACCGATATACGTTTTATGCGGAAAATTCCTCGCTGGTTATTAGTCTCGTGTAGAACTCATTCCGTATAAGAAGTAAAGAATAATAATAATAATAACCAACGGAGGTTGTTTTAATGGTTTGAAACCGGCGACCGCGTGTCCATTGTTTTACGTAAGATTCCCGTGTCCTATGTATATATATATGTGTCAGGTTTTGAATTATTTACGAAGTGGAAACTCGGCTTCGCCGATAAAAAAACCGTTCTTGAACTTGTGGTTTTTATGTGAGTCAAGGTCCCGGAATTCGTATCGTTCGCTATCGTTTGTTTTCTGTTACGTTAGAGAGGGAGCCTCCGTGAACTTTGTGGTCTATTTATAATTCGTAGTCCGACACGAACGGCCGCCCTAACTAGGCCAACGATCCCCGTTGCCAGTCGAAATACAAAACGTCGGATCGGAAACGGTATCGCGTATCTGTTCTTTTGTAGTTTCCACTGACGTTTTTCCTCCTCCGTGTCGGCAATTAATACGTAATTCTTTTCTTTTTTTTTTTTCTTTTTAAATAATTGCGTGGGGTGTGACGTTCGACCGAAATGGCGTCACACGGCGTGCTAACTGGGTCGCTTTAGCTCGTAACTGCCGCCGTTACGCGGACAATAGAATAGGCCGGAGCGCTTTTGTGACTCATCCACTCGCGATCCGAATCAAAGGAATTGATTCGACAACACCCGTTCTATTTCCAGGTCACGAAGCCATGTGTAACCTTTACCTGTGGTTGTTGCTTATTGTTCAGAAAAATTCGATTGTTTGTTTTGTTTTTGTTTTGAAGATCTTC